AACTTTTACAAATCAATTAAACAAGCAAAAAAATAATTCTTATTTACACATCAAATTAAACAAATCAACTTTTACAAATGAATTAAACAAGCAAAAAATAATTCTTATTTCCTCATCAATTAAAAAAATCAACTTTCAATGTAAAATTCAATTAAACAAGCAAAAAAAGTGTACTTCATACTGTTGTTTATGAACAAATACATCAATTTCACGTAGCTCACGTTAGGAATAACCTGCAGAAACCAAACATTTGCTCAAACAACACTTTCTACACATCTAAAACCAACAAACAACAAATTATTGAATTCTAGGTACTTAACCAAACATTTTCAAACCAACAAAGAGTATATATGTTAACAACACTTGCTCAAACTTACCAATTATTTATGCAAACTTTCAGCACGCGGCTGCAGGTAGGCAACGTCTCGTATATATCGCTCGAGCCATAAAACTCCGAAACCATAAGCCTACTGCACCTCTATCTCTATCTGTGGGAGGTAGAAAGTGTTTACTTCCTGTCATCAAACGCTCCAAGCACATGCATACAAGAGGACCACAATCCCCTCTGGCTCCCTCCGTTTGTTGTAGCGTGGTATCGTCTCTGATAATTGTAACTTTGAACTTTTTTGGCTTCTTGTTTCCAGAATTAGTCCAATAATCAATCGCGTCCAAGTATTTCGCCAAATGAGCGCTCCATCCCTTACAAATAATATCTCTCAAATCAGACAATGGTATGTAATTCAACATGCTGTCATATACCATTGTCTTCAGGGATGGGAGCTGAAGCTCGACGAGAAGCCAATGACGACATTCCAAAACAGGGATAAACATCTGAAATCATAAATAATTGCACACATCAAATAAAATTTATGAAAACCTTTAAAATATTCAAAAAATAAATACTAACCTTATCGACCTCCCACCACGCAGGATAAAGTTTAGCTTTTCCATTACTCAACGTATATGAAGCATCTATCGGATCCTTCAAGTGAGCTACGTGAAAAGACGTCGGCATAATAGTCCATCGAGTATTTCTTATTTTCCTCAATTTCCTTATTATTAGAAGACGTGACACCCATGCATCAATATGTTGTTTTATAAAAAAATATATATATTAGTGAATTTATTAATAATTTTAAAAAAATTAATCAAAACGCAATATAAGAAGAATATAAGACTTACCACCCCTTTGAGATAGCCATTATCTTCAACCCCTAATAAAATACCACGCCAAGACCGATCAAGAAACAAATGAATAACATCGTCGAGTTGGCATAGGTCAGAATAACACCCCTTGCTCCGCTCATGTAGATAAAAATCAACTGCGGTCTTAGCCTAAAGGGTATTATCCGTAATTATGTCCGGTAGTGTTTCCCTCTCCTGCTGACGAATGGTACTGGCCGGTAACACATACAAAAGCCAACTCGCATCCATCATATCGGGCACGAGAGGGGGTTTATCAATATGTCGACATATGACGCCATATGAATCGGGCTCTTGAACGGCGGGCGGGACCTCTTAAATAATGACAGGGGCCTCTTGAACGGTGGGAGGGGCTTCTTCGATGATGAGAGGGGCCTCTTGAATGATAGGAGGCGCCTCTTGAATGATGATAGGTGCATCGGGCTTCTTCTTACGGAGTCTTGGCACTAGTGGGGTGAACGAAGACGTAATGGCACGTGTAGGACGTCTGATGCGTGAACCTCGTCGTGCAAGAAAAACCCGACGTAAAACATCTACCTTATCGGGCCGTTGAAAATAAATTAATACATAAATAAATAAATAAATAATGCCGAAAAAAGGTTATTTGTATTTTTAGTATAGTATTAAACAAATTTACCTTATTACGTAGAGTATGAACCTCATTTTGCAACAATGAAACAATCTCGCATAGAGTGGCAACCTCATCACATAAAGTAGATACCTCACCACGTAGAACACCATTGTCATCGCATAAAAAATCCACCTCACCACATAAAGACCGAACCTTATAACTTCATGCACCATTATCTTCACGTAAAGTACCGACCTCATGATGCAAAACACCGACCTCATCACATAACTCCCCTAACTCATCCCGTGGAGGTGGAGAACAAAGAGATAAATGTCGTGGCCTCTTTGTCGGTCGTCTATCATGAGGTGATGGTGGAGGTGGAGAAGAGGCTCGATCAGGTGATGGCTCTGGGTGTCGAGTTGTAGAATCGGCCCGATCAAGTGATGGCTATCGAATTGGGGGGTGCTCATCATCCGTCCCATCAAAAAACCGCTTACTAGCTTGCCACCAATCAGTGGCAAGCTTAGCCTCTGTAATGGATAGTTGGCTCCTAACAATATAAAAACTCAAAAAAAGTTAAACTTGTACTAGTAATAACTTGTTTATATATGGTATTATTTGTGTATTAACTTACATCATTCATCGTCGTATATGTGAGTAACTCTTCCCAATCCAACATGCGGATCCTCTTCCAGGTAATAGCCCTAGGAATATCATTTGATCTTTTTATCGCATATGTCCGCATGCTCGGGAAAGCCTCAAATATCCAAATCTACAAAACAATATAATACACAAACATTAGTAATTGTTAAATAATTAATTATAATTTTGGAAACATTATATAGAAATTCTTACCTTAAAGGCCCAAGTAAAGCCTGTCAAAGTGTATTTAGAACCATTGCCCTGCAAAATTTTTCGGTCCTCAAAGGAAGACAACAACTTCTTCTAGGTAGCTTTCCATATATATGAACCCCACGGAAACATGTTCCATGTATTTAGGTCCTCTACCAATAATATTAGGTCCTCAGAGATAGGTTGTCTGCCCTATTTTCCTAAAAGCCGACATGCAAAAGTAATAAATGGCATACTCAGACAACATCAAGGTCATCCATCCGAGTAAAACCATCTTTAACAAATAATCTCTTCAAGTCGTCGACGTGTAAATTCGGCTTCGACTTTGCCAGCTCAGGAAAAAACTGAGATAACCATGATGGGCGGGAGATATGACTAGTGTACCGGGTTACTTCATCGTGTCCGAAGCGTAGACCAGTGATTAAGCAAAACTCCTCCCACTCAAAACAAGTATACGCCGGTGCTGGAGGAAAATGAAACCATATCTCTTCATCACCACGTTGTATCCTCTTGGGTAGATCGTTAGTCATGGTCTGAAGAAACAAATGTGTCAACATAGCATCTCCACCCGTATGTTGTACTTTCAGCCATGGCTCGAAACAAGTATCCTCAAACAATTTTCTTTGTAGAGGTGTAAGCGTCGACGCATTTTTAGTGGCTAGGCTTAATTTATTCCTTAAGGTCAATGCAACCGAAAAAAATTTCTACAAAAACAATAAACATACAAAGTTAGATATACCAAAAACTACAAATTATACACTATAAACAGACATGATATTAAACAGTGAAAACAAAGCCAAATATGTTTCAAACTAGCACGGTATTCACATGCTGTCATTATTCCATCATAGTTTACAAAATGCATCAAATAACTTTCCAGAAGTAAGCACTTATATAAACATTTAAAAGGACAACATATAGGTTTAGTGCAGGTTCAAGGACAACATAAAGAGTAGTAGTTTATTCTTGAAACTTAAATTAGCAACACTGTGAAGTTAGTATTTGTCTTTGTTTTGTCTTTTTGTTGTAGTAATGCAATTCATTCAAGTTTCAATTTACAGAATAAGAGTAGTTTCTGAAACTTAAATTCGCAACGAGAAAATGAAAATCGCAATGCGAAACTAAAATCGCGTTGCGATTTTTATTTTTGCGTTGTGATTTTTGCATTGCGATTTTTGCATTGCGATTTTGGTGTTACGATTTTCATTTTTGTGTTGCGAATTTAAGTTTCAAAAATTATTCTTCTGCAAATTGAAACTTTAATGAATTGCATTTCTTCAACAAAAAGACAAAACAATGACAAATACTAACTTCACAGGGTTAAAGACTAAACAATTTAGCAGTATTGGCAGCAACCGAATGAATTTACTAAGCAATCTCAGTGAAATGGTTAAAATATATATTGAAATTACCAGTAAATTTATCAACAATATAAGAAAAATCTAATAATAATACAAAAATTTCAAAATAAAAATAAGAGATTAAAAAACTAACCCTCGGTGGTTGATTTTCCATTTCTGACCGTGAATGGTTGTGAGGGTTGCTCTGAGAGATGGAGATAGACGGATTTCGCCGGAGATGGGGACGAATTTCGTCGGAGATGGGGACGGATGTCGCCGTAGAGAGTGAGAGATGGAGATGGGACTGAGTTGTGATTTAGGGTTTTAGGTTATGATTTACGATAATATTGTTTACATTTGTGTTGCAAAATTAATATTGTGTTTCTCGTTGCGAATTTGATTATCGCGTTGCGAATTTGACTTTTGTGTTGCGATTTACAAATTCGCGTTGCGAAATTGGAAACTGGGTTGCGAAATTGGGGTTCGCGTTACGAATTTATTGGTCATTTTGGCAAATCCAAAAAAAGTTGGTTAAAATCGTATATTATAAGACATTTTCGGTCATTGAGGTTATTTTCTCTTTAATAAAACAATATCATATAATCGAAAGACCATTTGTGTACTTTCCTCTTGATTTTATAGGCACAAATGAGATGTGTGTGTTCACAAGCTATTCGAGATTATCGGGCCGAGCTTGAGTTGGAGCTGAAGCAATTCAAGTTTTCAGCCCAACTCATAAACTGCCGGCTGTGCTTTAGTTGGGGATTGAAGCAGATTACAGCCCATGATGTAGGTGTTGAGAAAACATATACCAATAAGAACAGTGGGCTTTCCGGGTCAAACAATACCCGAATCCAACCCGATAACCAAGCCAGATTCCTTATCCTGTAGCTATATCTCCAAATCCAATTGAAAATCTGTGTACACAATGTACAAGCAATGAACACCATTAAACCAAATTCCAACACCCAAAATAGTTCAGTTTTATCACCTTTTCATTCTTACAGGTACTCTCTCTATCTCTCAATCCATTTCCTTTTGTACCAAAATGATCTTCCTTGACCATTGAGCACCAGAATTCATCAAATGACAGTGCTGTTTTCAACTGAGTTGATTCCCCATGGCCTACCCATTAACCCACAACAACTAAAACCAGCTTCAAATTCATCTTCACACAACACTTCATTGGTGAGTTGCTTGAGCCATGACAGTTCTAAAGATGGCATTAGAAAGTCCAGAAACAATCAGAAAATCTGGGTTTCTGCTGAAACAAAACCAACCCATCTCTTATCTTTTGATTTTAAGGAATCCCATCTGATGAAACTGCTCAATAGGTCCTGCAAGGCAGGCAAGTACAATGAAGCATTTTACTTTCTTGAATGCATGGTCGGTAAAGGTTACAAGCCTGATGTTGTTCTTTGTACAAAGATGATCAAAGGGTTCTTCAATGGAAGGAACATTGAGAAAGCCACCAGGGTGATGAAGATCCTGGAGAAATATGGGGAGCCTGATGTTTTTGCTTACAATGCATTGATTAGTGGGTTCTGCAAGATGAACCGTCTCGATTTCGCTAACAAAGTGCTCGATCGAATGAGGACTAGAGGGTTTTCGCCCGATGTTGTTACGTACAATATCATGATCGGTAGCTTATGTAGTAGAGGGAAACTCGATTCGGCTTATAAGGTCTTGAACAAGTTGTTGAAGGATAATTGTAAGCCTTCTGTTATCACGTACACGATATTGATCGAGGCGACGATCCTTCAAGGCGGAATCGAAGAGGCTATGAAACTCTTGGATGAAATGTTAACCACTGGTCTTAGACCTGATATGTTCACTTACAATGCAATTATAAGAGGGATGTGCAAAGATGGGATGGTGGACAGAGCTTTTGAGTTTGTTAGGAGCTTAAATGCTAGGGGTTGTAAACCAGATGTTATTTCATACAACATTTTGCTAAGAGCTCTTTTGAACCAGGGGAAGTGGGTTGAAGGCGAGAAACTCGTGTCGGAAATGGTTTCCAAAGGTTGTGAACCGAATGTCGTCACTTATAGCATCTTGATCAGCTGTCTTTGTCGCGAAGGGAAGGTCGAGGAGGCCGTAAATGTATTGAAGATGATGAAAGAAAGGGGTTTGACACCTGATGCTTACAGTTATGATCCATTGATATCTGCATTCTGCAAAGAAGGGAGATTAGATTTGGCGATCGAGTTTCTGGAATATATGATCTCTGATGGTTGCTTGCCGGATATCATCAACTACAACACGATCTTATCGACTCTTTGTAAGAATGGAAAAGCTGATCAGGCTTTGGAAATCTTCGAGAAGCTAAGTGAAGTGGGATGTCCTCCAAATGTGAGTTCTTACAACACAATGTTCACTGCACTTTGGAGCACAGGGGACAAGTTCAAGGCCTTGGAAATGATATTGGAGATGCTAAGTAAACGAATCGGTCCAGACGAGATTACGTACAATTCGCTCATCTCGTGTTTGTGCAGAGACGGGATGGTAGACGAAGCTATTGAGTTGCTGGTAGACATGGGACGAAGTAGGATTCAACCGACGGTTATCAGTTACAATATCGTTCTTCTCGGTTTATGCAAAGTACATCGCATCGAAGATGCCATCGAAGTAATGGCAGCTATGGTGGAGAAGGGATTGCAGCCGAACGAAACGACTTACGTATTGTTGACTGAAGGGATCGGTTTCGCCGGATGGCGGTCTCAAGCAATGGAATTGGCCTATGCTCTGGTCAGAATGGAAGCAATATCAGAAGATACATTCGAACGTTTGAACAAAACTTTTCCTTTTCTTGATGTTTATAAAGAGTTTGCTCTTTCGGATTCTGATAAGTAAACCCCTTTAACCTTGTTATACTTGTTTCATACAAGCTTTTTTCTGTTAATATCCACACCTCAGCTATGTTTTAGGGTAAATTATTTTTTACCACCTCGTTTTTTTATGTTTTTCAATTATGCCCTAAATCCTGAAAATAGATTTTAGATTGAATTCCTAGAATTTAGATTCTCTTGATTTAGTCCTCATTTAGTGAACTATTTCAGCCCTCAAACTTATACAATATTTTGATTAGGTCCTTAATTCAAGCTTGGACAATAAGTTTAAGCCTTAGAGTCTTAATTTATGTCACTTTAGTCCTGGTTTATTAGTTTTAATTAAATAGTGGCCGTAGGATTTGTAATTGACTTATATTTGGTCCTAATTTAGTTTCCTAATAAACAATGACAATGATGAACAATGTGACAAAAATCAAATGGAAGTAAAAGAAAAGATAATTCCATTTCAAGCTCTTAGATGAGACATATCTAAGCACTAAGGTAAACAATCCACTTAAAGAGGACAGAAGGTTAAAAATAAATGAAGCAATATATCAAAACCAAGTGTAGAGAAATTATTGTAATTGTACTAATTCATTGGCGTAAACAGCCAACCACAATGACCAAAGTCTTTAATCCAACCGTGTACTTTCTCTGAGAACCCTCCATTCCATCAACTTCTGATTCAACTTGCTAGCTTCTTGTTTCATTCCGGCATCAGCTACATGTCTTATTATAGTCGAATACGCTGTCTCTTCCGGTGTTTTCCGACTCGAGACCATCATTTCTAGAACTTGTATTGCCAATTCTATCTTCCCATTTCTACATAACCTATGGATCACCATTTTATAGCCACTATCTCCGACCATGTGTTTCCTCTCCGACATCACCTTTAGTATCCCTACAGCTCCCTCGACTTGACCCGCACGGCAAAATCCCCAAACTAAACAGCGGTGAGTTATATCGTCAGGGTCAATCCCATCTCCCGACATCTGATTATATAATCCCATTGCTTTCTCAATTGCACCTCTTCTAGCCAATCCATCTATCACAGTGTTATAAGTAATCAAACCAGGAGAGCAGCTGCTCCTACGTAAAAGTTTAAGTAATCGAAAAGCTTCTTCTACCATTCCTTCTTTCGAAAGAGCGTCGAGAAGAATATTATAAGTAACAATGTTCGGAGAGCAATTTTCAGAGAACATGTGATCAAATAAATTGATGGCTCGGTCCAAACAGCCGTATTTAGACAAACCATTGAGTAACAAATTGTATGTAACCACAGTTGGAGGATGACAGGTTTCCTTCATGATTGCAAGTATCTCATCGACTTCGTCCCAACGCCCGTGATTACAGAGAGAATGGATAAGAGTATTGTAAGTTATAACATTTGGCTCCATGCCATGAGATATAAGATTATATATGACCAAAGCAGCTTCCTCGAATTTCTCTTGTTTACAAGCAAGATTAACCAGAGAATTGTAGGTGACAATGTCCGGATAACAGCCTTCAATGGCCATATCATGTAATACTTCCATTGCCTGCACAGTTCCACAATGCTTGCAGACGAGCTCAACGAGAATCGTATAGGTGATTAGATACGGAGGACATCCCTTTCTCAGTTGATTCCTCCAGAACCCAACGGCCTGATCGAACATCCCGTTATCAAACATGCAGCGGATTATCGTATTGTACGTGATCACATCCGGAGGGCAACCACTCAAGCTCATGTCTTCCAAAAGGTCAATAGCATATCTCATCCGTCTCCTCTTACAAAGCCCACGAACCATCATGTTATACGTGATATTGTCCGGAATCCCGCCAGACATTATCATAACTCGAAGAATTCTGGCAGCTTTATCAAGTTCATCAACTTTTAGAAATCCCCTAATCAAGTTTATGCAAGATGGGAAATGAGGAATTTGATTCCAGCGAGCCATAACTCCGATCAACCGCAACGCACTCTTCAGTCTCCCATTGCTGCAGAACTTTTGAAGAATATCATTGTTGGTTTCCTCACCGTTTCTAACAAAAGATCCATCTAAAATCGACATCAACGAATCTGGAAGCTTTTCCGAAACCATTCTCTCTTTCGATTTTCCATCAATACACATCTTATGATCTTCTGAACTCCTCCATTCATCCTGATCAAATCCACCTCCGTCAATACAAACACTTCTCTGCAATCCTCTACACTGTAAAGACATCACCGCTCTTTCTGAACCATTTGCTCCCTTCCATGGCAAGTAAGAGTTGCTTCGACGACAATACTCGATTAAACAAGTTAAACGAGAAGTAGACACGTTTACCGTCGAGTGCTTCAGAGAGCTACAATCCGGACCGCCTTGTTTCGAACCCCATTGCAAACCATGAAAATGGAAAATCTCAACCGGAAATTTCTGAGCAACGACATGCCCCATCATGGTCTTCTATCCAAAAAATATATAAAATTTAATCACCTAATTAAGTGTCAATATGCTTGAAAAAACATAAAATTTCTTGCTTTCCTTCTTTACTTTAATCAAACTCAAACTAAGATTAATTCCCAGCAGAATGGTGCAAATAAATTCCCTTAATACATGATTTCAAGAATTTTTTTTTAATTAAGCAAGCAATTCCCATTCTTTCTCAGCTTATCAAAATGAGAATAAAAACCAATCCAGAAGCCTTGAATTCAACTACACATTTCCTGTAATTCAAGCCACTGACTATTTCACCTTCATTGAATTCAAAAGACCTTTAATAACCCCATCAAAAATATATAAAAAAATACCCAGAATTAAAAGATTACCTGGATGCTTGCTCAAAGCTCTAAATTGACGAAAATGAAATTTGAAATCCTCTGGACACAGAAAAGGCAAAGCTTTCATTTTTCACTTAATGAGTTCTGGTTATGAGGTTTAACGGGTGACGTTAATTACTAGGGTTCTATTAGTGGTATAATTACACTTAAGTGCTTCTTTTGTAATCCCATTTACGATTCAGGACATTTCAGAACATTCTAATTTATTAAATTCTTAAAATATTTGTATTCTATTAAAAAAATTCTTCATCGCTCTACATATAAATTTGAACTTCAAATGTTAATTTAAATATTTAGAATATATGAATAAAATTATAAATATTAAAAAAATATCCTAAATTTATAGCACAATATTTTATTCATATAATCAGAGCATTTGAATTAGTGAGCCAAATCTAGAAAAAAGATTGAGTTTAATCAAATTGATGAATCTTATTTTATTTTTTTAATTTATTCAAATTTAATGTATTTTTTCAAATTAAAATTAAAATAAGTTAAATATATCAAGTTAAAACCTTGTTAACAGTCTATTGAATTTTAATTTAAATCACATAAATAAATTCGATTTGATTATTTATTTAATATTTAAATCTAATAAAATTTCAGTTAACTTAAAAAAATAATCATCATGTAACTTAATTGAGTTTCATAATATTTCATATTTAAAAAAAATTATGAGTAGCATTATATGATTTTAATAATTTTATATGTTTATAGAAAATTTGATATTTTTTTTATAAATTTATGAAAAGGACTTACAGTTTTTTTATAGATTTAAGGAAATATATATATATATATATATATATATATTAAGAATTTTATTGATAGAAATCAATTGATTCAGTTTTTTAAAATTAACATAATTCAAAGAGTATTTGCACAAATTTATTAATTGATTTTTGAAATATTCAAGTGGTAAATTTTTTCTTCGATTCAAACTTACAAAAAGTTAAATCTTTTAGTTAATTTGATCCAACAAATCAGATAATTCAATTCAATTATCACAAAAAAAATTTAAAAAAACTTTTAATTTTTGGTGTTGATAAACATGGTATGAATACAAAATAATATATGTTCAAAAACTCTTTACCAATTAACAATGAACATTCATGCATTGACAATACTCATACCCTATCAGTACTCGAACCCAAGGATGAATCTAGAAGGGAGCGGATAGAAACAATCACCCCTAAAATTTCAAATTCTTGTATATTTTAAATATTTTCTTTGCATTTAAAGTTAAAAATATGTTTTAACCCTCCCTAAAATTTTATAAGCTTACCCCTCTTAACATAAAATTCTACATTCGTCTTTACTTAAACCTAAGACCTCTGAAGACAATAACAAATCTCTTAATTATTGAAATCGCTAATTTTGTTCTTTAAATTGATATGAATCTAAATTTTTTTATAACAATATTATCAATAAAACATTAATGCTTTACACATTCCTCCACAAGAACACTTTGAAGTTAAAATCTAAACGAATCTCCTTTATACAACAATTTCAAAGTTGATGGCCTTTCCATTCATCATGTTCAGCATCTTCCAGTAGATGTTTTACGATATTACTTCATTGTTCTTCCTTTTGCCATTTCTACCATTTCGCTGCGCTTTTATTTCTTGGCGATTGAAATTTATCATTTGTTTACCAAGAAATTTGCCGCAAAAAAAACAAGCTTACTGATGCTTGTATTTGATTGCTGGATTGTATTATAATAAAGTTTCTCAGTACTCTACAAACACCAGATTTTAACCTTAATTGCCTTGGATCCGACAAAAGGAAGGCGAAAACATTCATCAGGGCTGCTCACTTGTGTAATATCCCTTTTTTTGCGGCTTCGGCTTTTTCTGAAAATGGTTCTGCCAATGAATTTATCATAACAGACATCCAGTGTTAGAATCAGAAATGACATAAAAGTTGGAAAGAAAAAATTGAAAGAATCAAATGGAAGTGTATTTGTACCTTTCGTCTCACAAGGGCTTCCTGATCTATCCTCTCCTTCCAGTTACTCTTCCGAAGCTTGATTGGTTGATTTCCAACATATTTACCTGCAACACATTATCCGAAAAGTGTACACTCTTAGGGTACAAACATATATGAACACTACACAAAATAGGTAGTTCAGATTTGACTATGATTATAAAAGTACCTACCATTCATCTCTTTAAGTACGGCTGCAAGGTCTGAAGGGTTAGCAAAGCTAACAAACCCATAGCCCTTTGTTTTGCCCGACCTTTTGTCTCTAACAACCTGGAGGAAAGATAACATGTCATACAAATGTCTTGGATATCAAATCATTCTTAAGAAATCATGTATCCCTCGCTGATTTTCTTAAGAACAAACAGGTCAATCACAAGCATGATAAAGACACATGAAACAAGATACTGCAAGGTAATGTTAACGGTTGATTATCAAACTAAATGAACTTAAAATCATCAGAGCAGAGTGTTCACGTGGCAAAAACTCGAAAACTCAAAATGAGCATACTCACAAATCTGTATCTATCATTCTTCTTAGCATATGATTATAATCACAATGCATAGGCAACACCGAGATTTCTCAAATGTGCCACAATATTCGAGTCAGAAAACCAGTGAAACCACAAGTGGTTTTAATCATTGTTGGGATGTGGAATAGTAATTCACTGACAAAAAAGAATAAGGTTCTCGCAAGTTCAATGCCATACAATAAAAATTAACAGGTAAAGGGAAAACAATGCACTTCTTGTTTCCCCCATTTAAAGCTACTCAGGACTACAGGAGGTGGTATCCGACTTAAACAGTTTAATTGGTTGACTGACCTTATTCATACTAGTTCAAAAATCAATTCAGCTTGCTATGAATCAAACTACTCCATAAGTCAGGTAAAAAATACCATACTCAGGCCCTAAGTCGTGTTCCAGCAGTCAACATCTGACATTGATGTCTACAATTTTGACAACATCAATGAACACTAATGAAATAAACTGTATTATTCCATTAATTTGCATACATGGGGGTCCAAGGCAAAACCTACCTTAACACTAACATATAACTGCTTTGTGCACTTCTTACAAGAATCAGAACAGGAAATGCAAAGAGTTGATAGACACATGGCAAAATATGCTAATAAAAAGAAAAACTTAAAAAAATCGACTCATTGGAAAACTTACTTTAGCCATGTTAAATGATGGAAACCGTGCAAAAGCTTTTGAAAGAACATCATCATTCACCTCATTACCAAGATCACCACAAAATAAGCGAAAGTCATCTGCATATTACCAACAGAAATAGAACATGAGGAAGAGCCAAAAAGAACTTGTAAACACACAAAGAGAAATCACAAGATAAATGAATATAAAATATGATAATTCATACTTTCTGGCCACTCTGCAAGTGTTGGATCCTCCCATGACTGACCGGCAGCTTTCTGTGGGATTGCTTTCTTTTTAGTTTCTGCTTTGTGATCAATTTCACTGCTTGCAGGAGCAGCCTTTACACTCTCTAATGCCTCGGGGGTAACTATTTGAGCATCCCTTTGAAATAACTGTTGGGCCTGTCCAAATATACTATAACTTATTACAGATGTGAATGGGTACTCGAACTCACAGCTTTAAAATAAAAACAGGGTTTTTTGGGGTACTTTCTCCAACATTAATATAAAGAACAATAAACTAGCAATAAAAAAAAGCAAAACTTTCTCAGCTAAAAAATAAGTAAATTTATAAAAGCAACACTAAATCAAATATAATGATCGCAAATTTAAACTAAAAATTCAAATTATTCGTTAAAATTTCAACTCTCTTCCACCAATCTAATGCAGCTGATTGATCTCGCTATAATTTTGAATTCAATTCTCAATAACAATATAATCCAGAAAATTTCAAAGTTAGCAAAAAAGTTGGTGAAAATTTTAAACCCAACATAACTCATAAATTCCATGAATCTCAAATTTACAAATAAAAATTGAAATAATATTTATAGTTTCTTGTTCTACATACCTGTTGGTATTGAGGGAGAGAATAGACGCCGGAGACGGCAGCTACGGAGGCAGGATAGGTAGGGGCTGGGGCGGCCGGAACGGACTGAGCTGCCGTGCATAAGGTTGAGCCTGTTGCTGGAGATGAAACGGCAAAGGAAAATACGGCGGATTAGTCGTCGCTTGGTAGGTGAATTGAGAAGAGGATGAGGAAGAAGGATTTGTGGCGGAGGAGGGTGGAATCGACATGGCTGAAATTGAGGATTTAGGATTTTAGAATAAAAAATTGGGGGGAGAATTGTTGATTTAGAAGAGGGGATGACTAGGGATCCAAGATACAAGGGATACGGATTTAATAATGTTTTTGCCTTTCAGTTTTAGGAGGCCAGCCTGTCCCTAAAACGCTGCAGTATTGCCATGAAGGAGGGAAAGCTAAATTTAATACGGTCTAATATGGATTTGTTGAAGGGTTGAATTATTTGTTTAAGTCGAAAATTTGAGATTCTAAACAACTTAAAAACGGTAAACTACACTAATGTCACTAAATTTTGAGTAAATTTTTATTTTCCCTACTAAAGTTTTAAAAATAGTAAATTGATCACTATCGTTATCAGTTTATATTATCGATTTATAACAAATCAATCACTCACCATTAATAAATATTGACATGGATGATGGAATGTTGATGTGACATGTTATAGAATAGCATAAAGGAACTTGGTGGTAGTGTCGGTTAGAACAAACAACCATTCAGACTCAATCGAGGATATGACCAAGGAGAACAAGAATAACGGAGAAAACATCAGAAGATTCGAGTGTCGTTACTGTTAACTAAAATAATTAATAAAATGCCAAAGAGATTATTGTTTATTCATCAAGTTTGGTTTCAGATAAACAACGTTCTTTTTCTAAAAATTATGCCTCTAAAGCTTCAAATGACAGAAATTCCTGCAACTGATTAATCATTAATGCAAAGAAAAATATGCTTCATCAATTGACTCCATAGATCCATTTATATGCGTTGCTTTTGTAGTTAACCAATTCTTGTGGCTTGAACCATAAGTTGATCTCATCCTTGGCGGTCTCCGTACCATCACTTCCATGAATTATATTTATGCATTTCAAAATAAACCCTCCCCATTTTATATATTGTAAAACTAACACGCACGAATCAAGCGACATCGGTGGTAAAAAAAACTGTTGTTATTCCTTGAGTTCATAGG